GTGTATAAGACGATTTCATTTATTATACAATATTTACGGCAGATTTGACTGATCTGAATATTGTTTATCTCCAACACTTAACCGAGCGTTGTGTCGTGTGCACAACAACCGCACAACTTTTTTACAAATATAAATAAACCGAAAAATTTCTACTCAATCCATTTCAAGGATATACGCAATCATTTCGGTATACTTGAACTGTCTTTTCATTTGCTTCCCGTGTCTTCTCTGTCTAAGCCAGACAACATTCCCAAGCAACTGCAACTAACTGCACTGCCCCTAAAAAAACAATAGTTTTTTTTTTCGCTTTTTGCAATAGCATGACATGATCTAAAAGCATTTTGAATAGTTAAGCGATTGAGTACGAACTCAAACCGGAAAATCGGATATTTTAAATTAATTTTGATCTATATTCCTTTATATGCATATGCATCATATGTATGTAAAAATTCTCTTTATTGCCATAATCCAGCGAAACCTTTTAAAAATATTGAAGAATATTAAATAGTCGAGGTAGATCAATGAAGATTTTTTTTTTTTTTTTTTTTTTTGCTTCTTTTATTTTATATATGTGTGTATGTTGTTTTTTTTTTTTTTTTTTTTAATTTTTCTCTCATTTTTCCTATGATTGTTGTTTTATTATTTACCGCCTTGTTGTTGTTGTTGTTGCTTTTGTTGTTGTTGCTTCTGCAAACGTTCGCATTAAACGTTAAACAATTCAAGCTGATGAAAATACATTATTCGCATACATGTATAAATTTGTGTAATTTTTAACAGAACACTGTTCATATAATCCAAAAATAAATGTAATAACTTTAAAAATACGTTTACGATTTTGTTTGCGAATGAAATTTTGGAACCTACCTATTACAAAAATACATTACCTAAAATAATTGCAATTGTTTAACATATTGACCTGATGATAACACATCCAACTTGACAAATTTCATATTGACATTATACATGAGAATATTAAGTATTGACGTACCGTTAGCTGACGCCGCTAGGCTTTTGGCATGTCGCCATCATTTTTTCCTGGAAAAACATTGATCGAAGAGCAAATATATGCACATAAGTATACAATAGCGTAGATTACAGGCATTTGTGTACTCCAGCGTTTTTCTCAGTTTACCAAATTTTAATGCCTAATAAATCTAGTGATTTTAACATTGTGCGAACTTAAGTAACTCAATATTTATTTCCCGATTATACAGACATACACCTACTACATACATTAACAAAAAATTGTACGTTCAAGTCTAAAATGTCTTATTTGATTTTAAAAGGGGGAGAGGGACGGGGCGGGGCGGGGCGGGCGGCTGCATATGAATGCTTATTAAGTTATTCGAAGTATTAACCATCGCCGTCCTACAACTAAGACAATGTCAATCATATAGAGGGTCCAAAGTCCCAGAGTGAAATCATACGTATATGGTTCCGCTTTCCTCTACTGTGAGCAAACTAAGAATTACCTAACATGTCAAGTTTGTAGTGTCAGGGCGATTTTGGATAAATACAATCCGCTCGCAGCTATTAAGACCAAGAAATTGAAAGGAAACCCTACCTGCATTTTTTTTATAAAAGCTTTAGCATTGACCGTCAAATCAATTCTCACATAAAGAAGCGCACAGTGCGAAGCACGAAGAGTTGAGTTTAAAGTAAATCTATAAAGATCACGAAGAGAGTCATAGTTAGTCTCTCAGCAATAAATCCAAGTTTGTCTCGTTCTGAATTAAGGATACCGATATATATATATATATATATCTGTATATATAACTCGTTCATATTTTTATTAACGAGGCTAATCTTCCCCTCTTCTGTGTATCGATCACAAAAAGGTGCCAGGAGAGTCAACTTATTCTATACATTCTGTTTATGATATCCAGAACTATGCGCCAAGAATCCGTCAACTACGCGAACTTCTAATCTAATGCATAAAGTATTGAATGAACTTGACAGTCCGTTTATCTCTAATTCCTTCTTATAAAAAATATCCGCACAAAAGTAGAAACAATGCTAGGCTGCATCCAGTTGGCAATCTATTTCCTCACTTCTTTCTCATCCTCGCCATGTTATACGAACAGAGGACATCTCCTGAGAAATTCGCCCTTATTAAATTAATGCAACTTACAATCCGTTATAGATTTTGATTTTAACATTGTAAAAGATATTTTTCGGAGATACTTAGAAATTCGATTCGATATTTTTTATATTGATTTAAGGTAGTTTTAGTTCATAAGGAAGAATATAAATGTTTTATACAAAATTTTTGGGCGAAAAAAGCCCATCTTAAATTAGAATCAGTCCGCCTGAGTGGCCGAGTAGGCGAGAGTCTCGAGTAGCAACTCAATGGTCGTGGGTTCGAATCTCCAGTGCGGTAGAGTTTTTAATAAAATCCGATAGGCCCAGATGATAGTGCTTTAAGAGTTTAGCCTTAGAATTTATTTCTCTGGCAAAATTAATAACAATAATAATAATAATAATAATAAAATATAACTATGAGGCATAGGGACTACGGAGAAAAAGATTTAATTATTTATTAAGGGCGTTATCCATCCACATGCCTACAGTTAGTGGAAATAATTGCTTTTAAAATGGAAACCTAACAAATCCCTGAGATTTCATAAATAAAATTGAAACACATAGAAGAGAAGTTCAATTTATATTCCAGTGTTCAGAAGAATCGAAATAATGTAAGCAAATCCTATTATAACTAAAGACTTGAATTAATAAAAATCTCTAACAATTGTTGTTGCTGCTTTTTTTCTCTTCTTCTTCGTCAAACATAAGCTTTAAGTTTAGCATGCCAGAATATCAACCAAATTTGTATATAGCAAATCTAGCAAGTACAGGTATGAAGAGCGCCAAACCCTCTCCCAAATACATTTCCTTTTATAACGTACACCACTCGTAGTACAAGGTTATATTAATTTTGAGCGAATGTAGATAGCAACCCGAATGACTTGGGGTATATTCACCTTTTCATAATCATTTTCTGACTCGATCCAGGATTGTTTGCTGATCCGTCTTTCTTGTTTTCTTTTTGTTCAACCTGCAAGCCTAAGATATTTGAATGAAATTTAGTTCACTAAGGCATTTCGGTCCAAGCACAAGGGCTATTAGAAATGGTTCGAATCGAACCACTTTTCGGCCAACTTCCCATATAACCCGTTATTTTGAAAAGTCGATATATAGGTGAGTTATGGATGTTGCAAAGTATTTATTTTAACGCTGAACCGCGCCCTACTTGTTTTTACCTGTGTTAATCTGATATTAACAAAGAATTCATTTGTATTGCTTTCTTTACATCCACAACCGTAGATTTATATATTCTTGTTCGACCAACATTCGATTCAAAGTCGATTTAATCGACTGGTCTTACTTGTGAGCATCACAAACAATCACAAAATTGTGATGGAATGTAGAAAATATTCAGCTATGTATAGTATTTAGTATATTGATGATAATCATAGACCATAGATCTGAGTTGGAAGTTCGAGTTTTGATTTGCAGGACAGCAGGACAGGCAAAGCACTGTAGTTTACAATATTGAAACTTGGTCCGACAAATAATCACTCATGTTTTTTCTTTAAATATTTATGTATTCATTGGTATCTTGTTGTCTTCTCCACGACTACTAAATAAATATGTCCTTGTATTTGTGTGATAACTACACACATCAAGGAAGTGTCATTGCATACATGCGGCATTTGGCTTTACATTTGACTTTTCCGACTCGCACTTGATTTTATCAAAATAATAATCAAAAACGTAAAAAAAAATTAAAAAAATAAAAAAAAGAGAGAGAGGAAGAAAAGTTGCAGACATTTGGCACATTTGGTATTTTTGTTTCTTTCACTTGCTTCAATCGCTAACATTATTATTATAGGGTTGCTGTTTAGCAAAATGCTCATGCTTATCTTTTAACGACTACATAATTATTATCAATTTCTTCCTTACATAATGATCCTTTCGATTCTGGTCAAAGATTGTTGCTCTCTGAGAGAAAAGCGATACAAATACAAATTTCCTGTTAATGATGTCTATGTTAAAAGTTTAAATAGCATAACGGTAAATCTGAGCTATATGTGAATATTCTATTTGTGTTTAATTAAACAACATATTCTCACACATATTCAAGCGTCTGCAAGCAAACAACATAAGTTCATTGCTGATGAGATTTTCGTTGATTTTTCACTAAACTTTATCATATATGATATAAACCACATACAAAAACAAAAAAAAAAAAAAAAATTTATATATATTTGTTGTTTATTTAATATACTTGACTTCTTACTTTACAAACGCAGGCAGGCACATACACACAGATACACATACATACATACATACATACAAACACACAAACATACAAACATACAAACATACATACAAACATACATACATACATACAAACATACATACATACAAACATACATACATACATTTAAACACAGGCATATATATATATATAGATATATATATACACGCACGCACCTATACGTATATCTATTTAAAACTAATTTATCTCACGAGAATGCGAAGGAATAGAGCAACGACGACAATAACAACAACAACAACAAATTGTGAATACAACAGAAGCGTTTTCATAACAGAACATTTTAGAAAAACATCTGTAAATAAGCGAAATGTTTTGTGTGCGTGTATGTGCACGTATACTGTTGTAAACCAAAGTGTTTTTCGAATTCTTAATTATCACACGACCTCAGTTGAAATTTTGACTCGAGAAAGTGAAAAACGCTACAAGATTAAGGAAAAACGATACAACCACGGACAAGCGTAAACGATCGATCGATTAACATTAGCTATAGCTAAGCTCACGGGAACGTAGGCAAAATATTTTAGTCGGTCAATCGCGGACATTATAAACGTATATTTGTACAGTTTGTGTTTCGGCAAATTATAATTTGCGCGTATCAGAATAGTTAACTCAATTATTGAAAGCGTATCAGTACCGGGTTTTTATCGCTCCATAACGAAATAAAATGGCCGATGTCGAGGTTATGCAAACGACTGTTTCGGAAGTTAAGAAGACAAAAAAAGTGAAGAAATCTTCTAAACGTCGCGAATCCGAAGTTCAAATAACGGAAGTCGATCAAACCAACGAAGAGAAGGGGTACGTGTGGTCACTGTGAAGTTCATTTTTATGTCACTTGAAAATGTCTGAAATTTATGTTTTAATAAAGTCGCAGTTAATTTTATTGCACAGACGAGCCCGTGTCACATTTTCATATATTTAATTTTTGACCTTTATTTCTCATTTTTATTTCATTTCGCATATATATTGTACATGCATACTATTTCTTTCTTTTCTCTCTCTATCTTCCTATCTCTTTTTCTATCGCTCTCTGTCGCTCTCTCTCTCTCTCTCTCTCTCTCTCTCTTCCTTACTATTTATCGCTCTCACGAACAAAACCAAACGAAACTTTTATATTCAGAACGTTTGAAAAGAAGATTCACACAGTTTTTGATCATTTTAATCTCAATTCTATTCAAATTACTCGATATACCTAAAAATGAATTTCACAAACGACACGTAACTCCTTTATCTTAACCAAAGGTACAACCACAGTTTCAGTATATATTCTATCAAATAAATCTATTCAAAAAAAAAAAAAAAAAAAAAACAAGAAACAAGAAACAACAAAAAAACAAAACACATAAAAACAAAAACAAACAACATACAACAAATCAACAAACAATTACTCCAATTATTATTGCAAGCATTATTGCTATTACTGTTATTGCTTCAGCATCGGCAATAGTAGAGAATAGAAAGTTTTCAATTTTTCATCTTCATTTTCGTAACTGAAGATGAATGAAGACAACAAATATTATTTTGCCGAAATTATCGAAATCTATTTTAAAGTGCTTAACAAAAACAGCAACAACAGCACTCCTAAAATATTTATATATATATTTATATATATATATAGGCGAGCAGCCTATGAGCACATATGTAGAGACTTTAAATACATTTTTTTTTTTTTTTTTTTTTTTTTTTATTACACACAAAACAGAAATTAAATGAAAATATTCCACATAAAAAGAGAATAACACTAAAAAAAAAAAGAAGAAAATCAACACTGATTACACTGCGCTACTCTTTGCTATAGCAAAACACATATATATATATATATATATATGCAACATATGAGCGGCTTGATTTCTAAACAATGGATTACGTGTCTTGTTCTTCTTCTTTCAGTTAATTTTCAGTGGCGAATATACAAAGGCCATGGACAAGGATTGGCATTCCGGTCATTTTTGTTGCTGGCAATGCGACGAAAGTTTGACTGGTCAACGTTATGTAATACGTGACGATCATCCGTATTGCATCAAGTGTTACGAAAACGTATTCGCCAACACTTGTGAGGAGTGCAACAAGATTATCGGTATCGACTCGAAGGTGAGTAATATATGTGTGAGGGTGCAATTGCAAAATTGCATTCGCAACAAATATCAATAATTGTGCGATCATAGATTTATATAGATACATATGAAAACGATTACGTCACTCTAATGAACGGAGTAATATATTCATATGTACATCATATTACATTTATGTAATTGTCTTTTTTTTTTTTCTTTTTTTTTTTTTTTTTTTGTTCACTCGTCGTACACGCTTTTGAACATTAGCAATATGAACTGTTTCTCACATGAGTCATTCCTCATACACGTAATACATATTTTATTCATGTTATAGTATTTAGAAATTCTGAAATGCTCTGATATAAGCAACGATTACAATAACAATCGAAAATTTCATCTTCCCTATCAATGATGGGTGATGCTAAAGCCATTGAAAAAAAAAAAAAAAAAAAACTTAATGAAAATCTAATATTCAATATGTATCATATCCGCCCACATTGTCCACTTAGGAGCTATGCAAAGGCAAACGCATGGCTTCTGCTCATTTTCAAAAATAGCGAATATACGCGTAATTTGAGTTGCATGACAGACGAAATATTCGACGAACTATTGGTAAATCGACTCACTTTCCAAGTTTGATCGAGATATATGTGAATACACTTCGATGTTTAGATCCGAAAATTATAGAAATAAAGACGTAGCAGGGAAGAACATATACTCTGTTTAAGCTTAATTCTTTCCACAACATTGACTTAAGCTGAAATGCGTAAACTGTCATCATTATTACATCGCCATATATATATATATATATATATATAAATATATACTTTATATATTTTTTATATATATACATATGTATATATTACTTAAATTACTAAAAAGGGCAACAAATTATAATTAGACAGTTGTGCTATCCTACGAAGACGGAATTCCTTAAATTTACTTATGAAGTACTAATAATCAGTTTATTGGAACAAGTATTTCGCACACTTTTTTGTCCACTTGTTCAATTACTTACAAAATATTTTTAATACTTACTTAAAAACAAAATCGTTGCCTAGCATTTCTCGCAAAGCAATGATTTTTTTTTAGAACACTCCCTTGTCAACCGATTGTCTTCAAATTTCATCGAAAGCCAAACGATAGTATGGTAGTCTCCAGTAGAGCGCCCAGGATTGTTTTTTTTTTTTTTTTTTGGAAATATTGATCTTAGCATCGATTTTAGTGAAAACTCTTTTTGTTCTTCAGCAAAAAAAAAACAAAGGATACTATAGTCGGGCAAGGCCGACCATTAGATATCCTACACCACTTTGCTTAGCGCTTTGGTGATAATACATCAAAACTTACACATTATTTTTTTCGGCATAAAAAACTCTCCCATATAAGAGCCTAAACGATAGACCAATGTTTTTCAAACTCCCTAAAAAAAAATTCACCAGATAAGATTAGATCTTAATATTAAATATAATATATAAAATAATATTCTCATAGAGCATCCGAAATAATATTTGTCAAATATCGATGACAGCACTTTATAGGTAATTGTCCGAAATACTATTACTAGCATTATTTCTATATCTTACTGTAACTCTTCTCTTCGTCTTCTATATAATAAAGGCTCTGTTCGATCAATCTCTTCATATTATACCAAAATATTTCGAATAAATTTAATTTAAAGAATTTTTTTACATAAATTGAGAAGGCTTGTCATATACATTTCCGATTGAAGAAGACTGAAAAAAATTCACAAAAGTAATTTAAAAAATTTGAAAGTAATTCTTTCACAAGTTCTGCAGCAAAGCCATATCGACCACATAAAAATGATCATTATTATTAATAAAAAAAAAAAAAAGTAACGCCTTAGGCGGGCAAGTCAGCCAGTTACCCAGTTATTAACTACTGGACGACTTCGCTTACTAGACAACATTGTTAAGAATTTAGTAAAAATATTAGACTCCATTATAATGGGACATGGCCCAGCTTTAAATACCCTGCGCTATCCTACAGTTATCCATATATCGACTTTTCAAAATAAGGCTGTTCCGATCCTTCAGTCCGTCCGTTTACTACAGGTCCAATATAAAAAATTGTATCAAAATATCTCGAAAATTCCGATCCGTAAGTTAAAGGCAAAAAAACAAGATCGACAATCGGACAGACAAACTAATCATTTTAAAGAATCATTTTCTCAATCGATCAGTATAATGAAAGATCGGTCTATCTCAATTCTTTCTGGACGTTGCGTATATCCGTACGCAAGTGGTGCAAAAACAAGAGCATAAAAATAGAATTTTCAAAAAAAATGACATTTCGAGAAAGCCCTATATTCCCGAATAAAGGGTTGCATTTCATAAAATTTGTAAAAGTAAAAATTTGACGAAAAACTAAGTAAAACCGAAATGAATTCACAAATTATAATAAGTAATACTTAACTCAATAAGTCTCCGGTCTGACATATATATGGCAACGCTGGCATAATGCCAGTGGTTTGCTCAGTTCAAATAAAGACGCGCAGGTATCGATGAATCTATTGAATGCTTTGGTTGCCTAAATTCGACAGTTGTTCCGGAAAACATAAGTAAAGTCCACACAAAATCGCGTTGGAAGACGGAAAAGCAAAGTTGCATAAGATATCTGATACCTTGAAGACATGAGAAGGCAGTGAAAAAAACTTCGTTCGAAGTGAATGCCACTCAGTGTTGACTGCAACCTGTTGGTGACTTAAAACGACGAAATAAAAAGAATTTTTCACGCAATATATGATAATGGATCAAGCATGGATTCGCAATTACAAGTCGGCAATCAAACGAGTGCGATGGCGATCCAAAGCGAACCAAGAAAGTATTATTATTAAAGTAACTGTAATTTATAAACTAATGATCGCAATGTCATGAAGTTGGTACCATCTAAAGAGCATACGGATCCGTCCATCCGCATTCTGGCAACTTATTAAGCCATGTGTTATGTGCAGTGGCCATGAGAGATTAGAGATCAAATTAGTTTACAAAATCGTAGCACACTAGGCATGTGTCGAATCGAATTTTTTCGACCAGTTTATGGGTTTTTCATTTGTAATAAAAATATATTTTGATTTTATTTCCTTCTAGGATTTGTCGTATAAAGACAAACATTGGCATGAAGCCTGTTTTTTGTGCTTCAAGTGCCATTTGTCGCTGGTTGACAAACAATTCGGTGCTAAGGCCGATAAAATCTATTGTGGCAACTGTTATGATGCTCAGTTCGCATCCCGCTGTGATGGTTGCGGAGAAGTGTTCCGTGCAGGTAAGCAAATATTGCATAAGACTCACTGAATTCGGTAATGAATTGAGATAATTGAGAATTGGATCCAATATATTTATTACTGGCCATCTCTCTCTCTCTCTCTTTCTCTCTTTCTCTCTCTCTCTCTCTCTCTCTCTCTCTCTCTCTCTCTCTCTCTCT